GATTCTGTTTCTTCATAGTTTCTTTTCCTGTAGAAACTTGTTCCAGCTAGAATCTGACCTGGTTCAAGAATTACAGGTAGTGCTCTACTTTTAAGCAGCGTTGTGGTTTAACCCCAGCTAGCAACCAAGTACCACACAGCTGCTCGCTCGCCTCCCCCCCAACCAGTGGAGGAAAAGACAAGGAAACTTGTGGATTGAGATAAGAACAATTTACTAATTGAATATAAATGAATAAAATAGTGAAACCGATAGTATTGACGGTAGTAATAATACCCAGAGTGCTACTAATAATATGTAATACAAATAATGGCAAAATAACCAAATGATACAGTTGCTCACCACTGAACGATACCCAGCCAGGTCATGACTAATGAGAGTCACAGCTAGAGAGTGAGCGCAGCAGAGTCTGTGTGAGCTCCACATCGAGAGCACAAATGAGGAAAACACCAACTCGCCAACTAACTTAACTGACACGGCCCCTGGCTTACGACACAGAGCATGAGGTGCTGTGGAATGAAATACTCCTTTGATCAGTTTGGGTCAGCTGTCTGAACTGCGTTGTTGCATGCCCCTCCCACTGCCTGCAGTGATAAAGTTGGGAACACAAGGCCGCTATCAGACACTGCAAAGTCCTTGACTTTGTACAAATGCTCCTTAGCAACAACTAAAACCACCGGTGTTTTCAGGGCTCTTTGCAGGGCACATCCAAAACAGCCTCCTACCAGCTGCTGGGAAGAAAATTACCTCTGTCCTGACTAAAACCAGCACGAGCAGGCAGCCAGAAAGCACACAGGCGTTAATCTGGGCAGCTGTGTGTCGTGCAGCTGTTGAATGTGACTGTTGCAGTACTCTGGATTAGGCTTGTGTAGTGCTTAACTTCCAGATAGAAAACTTGAGGGGTCTGGCCATGTTTGAAGAGCAGTCTGTCATCCTTGTCAGGTATCTTGGGCTCCTTCCCTGCTGCGATGTTTTTTTCCCTTCATCCCAGTCCTTGTTGAAGGCAGAGGTAGATGCTGAAGTTCATGTAGGAGAATTTCTATGGTACCAGTCTTCCTCGCAGTGGTGGACACCCTTCCTGCCCCTGGACCTGGGGAGTGCTTAATCCCTTGGAAACGCAGGCTGTGAACTTGCATTTCTAGTTAAGAGTCTGTGGTTCAGGATGGGGACTTGTGGGACTTGGTGGCTAGCTGGCAGGTAGTCAGACTCCTTGCACTTTCTGTTCTGCACAAGACTTCTAGCTGGGAGCCGTTACACTCCCGTGGGACGATTATGATGAGCAGGTGAGCAGCCTGTTACTTGTTGATTTCAGGTCTAGCTCACATTTGGTTTGTTTGGAAAAACTCTCTTTCGAGAAGTGCTGTGCCAGGGAGACTGTTAGGGTACGGTAACGCACGGCCCCAAAACCTGCCCTGCTCGTGCTTCGCGCACGCTCTGCATCATCGGTTGGTACCAGCGGGAACACTGTGCGGCAGGTTTGTCTCCGTCGCAGCCAGCTCATGAGAGTGTCTGCAGAACAGACCGTGGGGGACGTTCCACCAGCTCCTAACGGACCTCCCTCTTCTGTGTTGCAGGGCAACGTGTATGTCAAATGTCCTTCCATCACTGCTGCCATCGCAGCTGTGAACGCGTTGCACGGGAGGTGGTTTGCAGGTGAGTGGGTGTCGTCTGGCGACCAACGTGTAGCCGTTGGGTACAGAAATGACCCGATACTGACTCTGCTGTCTTCTGATTAGGCAAAATGATAACAGCGGCGTATGTACCTCTTCCAACGTACCACAGCCTCTTCCCAGATTCTATGACTGCGACCCAACTACTGGTTCCTGTTCGACGATGAAGATGGATTTAGTCAGTTTTGTACATAGTTATTTTTTGGAGGAAGATTGAGTTATCTTTTATTTAGATAAAACTAAAGGAAAGGATTTAATGTCATTTTGTGTACACTTCCTGTTACCTTTAAAAATAAATGAAGTAAGCAGAAATGCAGTGTGTTCATTCTCCCTAACTAGCATTTCCACTGTATACAGAGCTGTTGACTTCTTGTTCTGCCTTGTAATTCTTGTACATTTACTAAGGTGATCTGTAGGAACCGAGACGTAGCTCCTAGAAAACAAGTTCTCTGTGAAAGGCGGATGGGACGTAATGACATTTTTAATGTTTCACAAGCCTTTCTTTTATTGCAGCGATTACATTTTACATCTCACTAAAGGTAGGTGATCTGCTAAAGGTTGATACCGGAGATAGACTTTATGAAGGGACGTACTTAGTGTTTTGTATAAATGGGAAATTCCAAAGGCTGCTGAAAGCTGACTCCGACAGCCGCTCAGCCTGCTGTGTGCCGAATAACTGGTAAGAATAGAAGGATTGAAGGGTTTTATTTGTGGATGGTAACTTTTGATTAATGTATCTGTAAAAGTTTCTTTGTAAATAGTGTGTGAGGTGTGTCTAAGTTTCCAAACAAAACCATCTCTGCATTTCCAGACAAGTTTCTGTGTATGCAGTGTGGCACCGTTGCAGGGTTTCGGCCAAGTCTGAAAGTTGGTAGGAAATACAGAAACGTGTTTTGTTCTGGTTGCATATAATCTTTGCTCTTTTTAAGCTCTGTGAGCTCTGAAATATATTTTTGGGTTACTTCAGTGTGTTTGACAAGACAGCTTGATATTTCTATCAAAGACTTTCATATTGCAACAATCTTTGTAAGAACCACTCAAATAAAATTCTCTTAAAAAGGCCTTCCTGAAGGTCCCTGTCTCAGCTCTCCTCACGGGGCTTAAGCAGCGTGTGCTGACTGGAGGTGAGTGAGGGGCAGAGGTTTGGGGTGCCCCTCCTCCCGCAGAAAAGGCAGGGGCTGGCCCCTGCGTTGCTGGGCCTGTGCGTTTCCTCACTGCCCTTCCTCAGGCCCAGGGGCGGCTTTGCCCTTCCCCCCCTCTGCCCTCGCCTTCGCGGGGGGTGGTGATTGTGGGGTGTAGGGGCCGTGCATCTTGGCTTGTAGCCTGCTTCCTGCAGCATCACCCTTGTCCCACCTGCTTGTCACTTGTCACCAGGGGCTGGGCTGTGGTTGCCAGGGGTGGGCATGGGCTGGGCAGGGCTGCTGGCGGTGCTCGGGGCTGAAGGGGGTGCCGGGCCTTTTGGGGGGCTGCGGCAGAGCTGCAGCCTTGAGCAGCACAGAGCTGTGGGAGGAAATGGGGCTGGGCCCCTGGGGGCAGTGTGAAGGGAAGCGTGGGAAGGAGCTGGGCAGGCACTTAGGGAGGGTGGCTTAGGAGCAGGTGGTGCAGCTGAAGAAAGCTGAGAAAAGCTGCTCTAGGCTTGCCTGACGCTAGTTAATTGGCAGCATCAATCCACCCGTGCCAGCTGGAGTGGCAGTCAGGCTGCGGCAAAAAAAAAGCAGTGCCGCTCGGCTGGGCTGCAGCGCGGTGTCAGAGCCAGCAGGCTTCCAGGGGCCTTCCCTTAAAATCTGGGGGCACGGCACCTGCAGTAGGGGAAGGCTGTTCTGCTGCTGCGACCCCGTCCTGTCCTTACACAAAGGAGCCAAGATCGCAGGAGACTGCAACGCTAACTGTTGCGCAGCCCCTGGTCCCCCCGGGAAGCACCTTGCAGAGCCCTTAGACAGATGGTGGGAACAGACTCCCTGGGCGTGCAGCTCGGACACCGGAAGGCCCGTCCCCTGCCGAGGGAATGAAATCCCCTCCCACAACCACAGCTTCGGCTTCCGTCCCTCCTGCTCCTCTCGGAGCTGCGAGCGGCGGTCC